TTATTTTATTTAATTAAAATTCAATTCAAAATTTAAAAAATTATTTTATTAAATGTTGATATATTAGAATATATAATGGATTTCTAAATTTAGATATTAACATTTAATAAAATGAGATTTTAATTTTTAGATATAAGTTGAGACTTTAATTATTTTTGGAAATAAAGATTGATACACACTAATTATATATATATACATATATATATCGACAGAAAATGTTTAGAAGGGGTGGAGTTATTGTAACATCCTAAATAGTTAATACCATACATTTTTAACGTAATTACTTACTATACCCTTTCATTACTCTTTTTCTCAAAAATTTTACATTTTTTTGTTTCTTAATAAATTGAAGAGTTTAATAATCAATCAATTAAAATAAAAAAATATGTTATTTGTAATTAAAGGTGCAGTAATAACATCACCTGTTTAGAAGGTGGATTGCCTCGCTGGTTTTTATTAAAGAAACTCATCAAGGATTGCACTAAACTAAATTGATTCTCTATTTAATTCTACATATTCACACTTATGATTTGATTTATTTACTACAATAATTACCTTGTCTATAGCTGATTTGGTTTCCATCTTTGTATAACTAACTGGGTTGTATCTCTATATACAATTTCTATGAAATCAATATAATGATCATCGTTTTCACAATATTGTATTGTAATAGCCCATTAGTGGCATCAAAGCCCTCTCCCTCAAACAAGTTCAAACCCAGACACCATGGACGACAAAACCCTTTTAATCAGCTTAAGCAAAACTACCACCGCAACTCCTGTAGCCATTGTCACTCCAATACCCATGACCACTGCAACTGGAAATCCAGATATTAATATCATTACCTTCAATGTTGCTGTTTATAATTTCCAGTGAAACTTATCGCTAGCAACTACATGAATTGGAACAAATAGTTTATCTCATTACTCAAAGTTTATGAATTGTATGAATTTTTGCTGGAATAAACGCAGTGTCTAACCAAATACAACATTCTAGATTCACCTTATGATGTGTGGGTAAGATAAAATTAGTCTCTTCAACATGCAATTATGACTTCAATTGTAGAATCCATTCAATATGCAACCTAATTTTTTCAATTTATATACTAGGGAGAGAGCAAACTACTCGAGATTAATTACTCATACTTATGGCTAAGGCAGCAACTAGAGTTTGCACATATGCTATATGTCATCAGTTACTCGCTGGTGTCCTGCTGGGATAGGAAATGAAGCAAAGCCAGACTCAGGCATTCGCTATATCCACAGTGTGCCTTCAATTACTTGAAGTTGAAGTTTATCTTTAAATAAGTGAAGTGTTGACACCTCTGATCAATGTACTGACACTGCAGGGGAGAAAAATGTAAGACAGTGACCGAAAAAGTTCCGAACCCTTCATCTAAGTTCTGAAACCGCATGGTGTCGACACTTTGGCGCGAAATTGGATCATTTTTCTCTTGTTTCCTAATTTAGAATTCCCAAGTCAATTTAGAATTTCAAGAAGAGGGACTCAATCTTAAAGATATTGTGGAGTTTTAGTTAGATTTAATCCTCTAACTCTTAAAGTAATTTTGTGACTCGAATGATAATATATAATAATTTTTATAAGAGTTTGAATTTTATACTTTAATAAAAATTCAAAATTTTGTTTTAATTTTATATAAATATGTATTGTTAACAAATTTAAGATATGGTAGCAGAGACGCACCTATAATGTGGAAATTCCACCCCATGGGGTGATTGAGTGGTAAACAAAAAAGAGATAGGGAGACCTTAAAGTGGGAAGCCTAAAAGGACAAAAGAGATTTTAAGGACAATATTAAGAGTACTTGAAAAAAATTGAGAGGCATTTGCTTCCTGATATTTCTTTGTTGAAGATTTTTTAAGTTAAATTGATATTTTACTTTTTTTTGTTATTATTATTCGTTTGCATAATTCTTTAATGGGAGAAATTCCAACCGTTGGTATCATGAGGAGGGAATTTTATTCCATAGGGTGGTCTAAGAGATCGAAGGAGGAATTTCTTAATTCCCAACAGAGCAGGCATCAACGGTAACTAAACTCAAGTCAACAACGTCAACGCTTCCTCAGAACAGTGGAAAATTTCAGGAACAAGAAGCGACGAAAAATGTTTTTGCCAATAACGACGAAAAATGTTTTTGTCATTTTAATATATCCTTTATATAACTAATCCTCCGTCAATGAAAATCAAAGGATTCAAACCTCTTTCTGCAAACTGGAATTAATAATTTTCTTGTGTAGCAAATGGAGCTGGCTTTGAATTCATAACACATGAAAATCTTACCCAAAGAATTGCTCGAATGGAAGCTACAAATGCTGAAATCTGCTTCTGCATATTCCAACTCTCATCTCCATGCCACAAAAGCTGAAGTGCTATTACTTTGCTGGTAACTAGTTGATTTCACTTTCAGTTTTGAAGAGCTATTGATCAATATTAAATGGCTTTGTCTAAACTTGAGGTTCTCCTATTTAGTGGCTAGTGCACCAAACAGAAAAGTGAAGTTAGGAAAACAAAATTATTGAAAGAAGCAGTCAACTGAAAATGGCAGAATCAAAGATTATAAACAAAGAAAGATTGAAAAATATTTCTTCATAACCTAAATGCATAATGCCTACTTCTCTATTGTTGCAATGAGAGAAAAGATATTTACTTGCAGTTTTTATCATCACAGTCCTAAATATGTGCACTGTCACAAGCTATGTTGAAGAGCATCTTGTAATTCAGACGAATGTAATGTAACTTATAATGCCATCTGTTTAGGGCAGCACTACAACAAAGTTGACGGTCCAAATTTGAAGTTTATGATCCTCATAATCATCTTTGGTTGAATTAACCATTTGTTTTCTAGTGGAAGAGATCAATTGTTTCCTAGTGAAGAAGAAGGTGAAAGACTATGCCATGCACTCCCAAATTGTGAGATTTGTAAGTTTGATGAAAGCCACCATTTTTTCTTCCTGGTATGTCTCTCTCAAACTGTAGGTCTTGAGAGGAGGAGGGTGTTCTTTTGAGCATCTGAAGTTTCACTTTTTTCCCTTTTATGTCCTAATTTTTACTCTAGTTGTCATCTTAGATTATAAGGTTTTGTGATGTTATAAAATAGTTACTTTGGCCTCTCATGCAGGAAGGTGGTATTGATTTGGTAACAATCATCAAGGGAACTAGCTTCTATCATTGTGGAAAATACCATGACTGTTGTCAGATTACATGCCACCTACACCTCCTGAATTCTAGAAGTTATATGAATCAAATAGGTAAGCATCTTTGGACAAAGCAAATGTCAAACATGTACCAAAAGGCTAGAGACATACCAGTTGTATTCTGTCATGAGGAGGGTGCAGAATAACAAGAGCTTATTGTTATGT